CTTAGTCCAGCTGTTGTTGATGTCTTAGTCCAGCTGTTGTTGATGTCTTAGACCAGCTGTTGTTGATGTCTTAGACCAGCTGTTGTTGATGTCTTAGACCAGCTGTTGTTGATGTCTTATACCAGCTGTTGTTGATGTCTCAGACCAGCTGTTGTTGATGTCCCCAGAAACCCGCTGTTGTTTATGTCCCTTTGTCCAGCTGTTGTTGATGTCTTAGTCCAGCTGTTGTTGATGTCTCAGACCACCTGTTGTTGATGTCTCAGACCAGCTGTTGTTGTCTCAGACCAGCTGTTGTTGATGCTGTTAGTACTTCCCATCCAGGGAGGTACAACCATCCAGGGAGGTACTACCATCCAGGGAGGTACTACCATCCAGGGAGGTACAACCATCCAGGGAGGTACAACCATCCACGGAGGTACTACCATCCAGGGAGGTACAACCATCCAGGGAGGTACAACCATCCAGGGAGGTACTACCATCCAGGGAGGTACCACCATCCAGGGAGGTACAACCATCCAGGGAGGTACAACCATCCAGGGAGGTACCACCATCCAGGGAGGTACAACCATCCAGGGAGGTACAAACATCCAGGGGGGTACAACCATCCAGGGAGGTACACCATCCAGGGAGAGGGACTACCATCCAGGAGGTACAACCATCCAGGGAGGTACAAACCATCCAGGGAGGTACTACCATCCAGGGAGGTACAACCATCCAGGAGGTACAAAACCCTCCAGGGAAGTACTACCCTCCAGGGAGGTACCACCATCCAGGGAGGTACAACCATCCAGGGAGGTACAACCATCCACGGAGGTACTACCATCCAGGGAGGTACAACCATCCAGGGAGGTACAACCATCCAGGGAGGTACAACCATCCAGGGAGGTACTACCATCCAGGGAGGTACCACCATCCAGGGAGGTACCACCATCCAGGGAGGTACCACCATCCAGGGAGGTACAACCATCCAGGGAGGTACAACCATCCAGGGAGGTACAATCATCCAGGGAGGTACAATCATCCAGGGAGGTACCACCATCCAGGGAGGTACCACCATCCAGGGAGGTACCACCATCCAGGGAGGTACAACCATCCAGGGAGGTACAACCATCCAGGGAGGTACCCCCCATCCAGGGAGGTACCACCATCCAGGGGAGGTACCACCATCCAGGGAGGTACAGCCATCCAGGAGGTGCTACCATCCAGGGAGGTACTTTCCATCCAGGGAGTACACCATCCAGGGAGGTACTACCATCCAGGGAGGTACCACCATTTCCCGGGAGGTGCTAAACCCTCCAGGGAGGTACCGCCATCCAGGGAGGTACTACCATCCAGGGAGGTACTACCATCCAGGGAGGTACTACCATCCAGGGAGGTACTACCATCCAGGGAGGTACTACCATCCAGGAGGTACTACCATCCAGGGAGGTAAATACCAACCAGGGAGGTACTACCATCCAGGGAGGTACTCCATCCAGGGAGTACAACCATCCAGGGAGGTGCTACCATCCAGGGAGGTGCTACCCCTCCAGGGAGGTACCACCCTCCAGGGAGGTAATACCATCCAGGGAGGTACTACCATCCAGGGAGGTACTACCAACCAGGGAGGTACTACCAACCAGGGAGGTACTACCATCCAGGGAGGTACTACCATCCAGGGAGGTACAACCATCCAGGGAAGTACTACCATCCAGGGAGGTACAACCTTCCAGGGAGGTACTACCATCCAGGGAGGTACTACCATCCAGGGAGGTACTACCATCCAGGGAGGTACAACCTTCCAGGGAGGTACTACCATCCAGGGAGGTACTACCTTCCAGGGAGGTACAACCATCCAGGGAGGTACTACCATCCAGGAAGGTACAACCTTCCAGGGAGGTACTACCATCCAGGGAGGTACTACCATCCAGGGAGGTACTACCATCCAGGGAGGTACTACCATCCAGGGAGGTACTACCATCCAGGGAGGTAGTACTATCCAGAGAGGTAGTACCATCCAGGGAGGTAGTACCATCCAGGGAGGCACTACCATACAGGGAGGTACAACCATCCAGGGAGGTACTACCATCCAGTGAGGTACTACCATCCAGGGAGGTAGTACCATCCAGGGAGGTTGTACCATTCAGGGAGGTGCTACCAACCAGGGAGGTGCTACCAACCAGGGAGGTACAACCATCCAGGGAGGTACAACCATCCAGGGAGTTACTACCATTAAGGGAGGTAATACCATCCAGGGAGGTACTACCATCCAGGGAGGTACAACCATCCAGGGAGGTACAACCATCCAGGGAGGCACAACCATCCAGGGAGGTTACCACCATCCAGGGAGGTACTACCATCCAGGGAGGTATACCATCCAGGAGGTACAAAACCCTCCAGGGAGGTACCACCATCCAGGAGGTACCACCATCCAGGGAGGTACCACCATCCAGGGAGGGGACAAAACCCTCCAGGGGTACAACCATCCAGGGAGGTACTACCCTCCAGGGAGGTACTACCCTCCAGGGAGGTACTACCCACCAGGGAGGTACTACCCTCCAGGGAGGTACTACCCTCCAGGGAGGTACAACCATCCAGGGAGGTACAACCATCCAGGGAGGTACAACCATCCAGGTAGGTACAACCATCCAGGGAGGTACTACCATCCTGTAGGTTGGAGGATACACACACACACACACATATATATATATATATAAAATATATATATATATATATATATATATATTATATATATATATATAAAATATATGTATATATATATATATATATAATGTTCATATCTGCTAAATAGGTAAAATTAGCAAAAACTCGTAAGATTTTTTTCATTTATGATAATGTAAAAATTAATAATTTTGTACCAAAAGAACCTTAGAAAACTTACCTGTGCAAGAAAGGTATAAAATACCTACAATATGAAAGTTAAGACACATGTGCAACATCTGGATATCTTTATTGTAGACGTTTCGCCATCCAGTGACTTTATCAATACAGATTCTAGGACATAATTAGAAGACAGTAGAACTATATACAAAAGATGAAGTAATCAGTCCCTCAGCCTTGGAGTTAGTGTTCACAGCATCGTGGTGGAGGAGAATCTGGAGCAAAGGCAAGAAGACTGGCGGTTATATAGGCGTCAGTGGATCAGGACGTGTAGCAGACGAGGACATAGTCACTGGTAGGCGGGATTCCCCAGTGGAAGTAGGTCCTTCCCAAAGAGATGGGTTAGTTGTAGTAGCAGTTGTCGTAGTCGTGAAGGTTATGTACATGTCCTCAGAATTAAGATTCCATGATGTTGCAGTGTCTGACAAGTTGTGCAAGAAAGGTATAAAATACCGACAATATGAAAGTTAAGACTCATGTGCAACATCTGGATATCTTTATGCCCTCGTCTGCTGCACGTCTTTATCCACTGACGCCTATATAACCACCAGTCTTCTTGCCTTTGCTCCAGATTCTCCTCCACCACGATGCTGTCAACACTAACTCCAAGGCTGAGGGACTGATTACCTCATCTTCTGTATATAGTTCTACTGTCTTCTAATTATGTTCTAGAATCTGTATTGATAAAGCCATTGGATGGCGAAACGTCTACAATAAACATATCCAGATGTTGCACATGTGTCTAAACTTTAATAACTTACCCGACCTTATTATAACAAGCGCAATTTAATTTAGCCTAATCCACTTAAATATATTTTAGATAAGTTTACAATAATTCATTAAAAAAACAAACACAATGATATATATCTTTTTTCGTTAGGTTCAGAATGATTTTTGCGAAATTACTGCATACACAAATTTTCGATTGCCTTATTCGGGAAGAAGAGCATTGCTATTTAAGCCAAAATCGCAAGTTTTATCTAGGGAGAGAGTATGGAGGAGGTGAATGTATTCAGATATTTGGGAGTGGACGTGTCAGCAGATGAGTCTATGAAGGATGAGGTGAACCATAGAATTGATGAGGGGGAAAAGGGTGAGTGGTGCACTTAGGAGTCTGTGGAGAAAAAGAACTTTGTCTGTGGAAGCAAAGAGGGGAATGTATGAGAGTATAGTGTTACCAACACTCTTATATGGGTGTGAGGCATGGGTGATGAATGTTGCAGCGAGGAGAAGGCTGGAGGCAGTGGAGATGTCATGTCTGAGGGCAATGTGTAGTGTGAATATAATGCAGAGAATTCGTAGTTTGGAGATTAGGAGAAGGTGCGGGATTACCGAAACTATTATCCAGGGGGCTGAGGAGGGGTTGTTGAGGTGGTTCGGACATGTAGAGAGAATGGAACGAAACAGAGTGACTTCGAGAGTGTATAAATCTGTAGTGGAGGGAAGGCGGGGTAGGGGTCGGCCTGGAAAAGGTTGGAGGGAGGGGGTAAAGGAATTTTTGTGTGCGAGGGGCTTGGACTTCCAGCAAGCATACGTGAGCGTATTTGATAGGAGTGAATGGAGACAAACGGTTTTTAGGACTTGACGTGCTGTTGGAGTGTAAGGATGGTAACATTTATGAAGGGGTTCAGGAAAACCAGCAGGCCAGACTTGAGTCCTGGAGATGGGAAGTACAGTGCCTGCACTCTGAAGGAGGGGTGTTAATGTTGCAGTTTAAAAACTGTAGTGTAAAACGCCCTTCTGGCAAGACAGTGATGGAGTGAATGATGGTGAAAGTTTTTCTATTTCGGGCCACCCTGCCTTGGTGGGAGACGGCCGATATGTTAATCAAAAATATAATGTTTGTGTGTGTGCATGTGTGTACTCACCTAATTGTGGTCACAGGGGCTGATTCACAGGTCCTGGACCCTGTGTTTGTGTGTGTAACCCGCCTTATAAGCCTTCATCTGTTCTATTATTTTCACAGTTCCTTGATAATATGAAAAAATCACGAATGCGCTTGTAAGTACATCATATCGTGATATCACCTGTTTACTGTGATCTTATTACACATTTATATATATATAATGTATCTCTTTTCTGAACACAATAACGATTTAAGACTATTATTTATTTTTCAGACTCTGAAGAGTTGCAGCCTTGCAGATATTAATAGTGAGTATATGCCTGGTTGTGTTTACATCACCGTAGTGTTCTGAGTCAGTATCCTGCCGTTGTTTCGCTCTCACTTGGTCTGTTTACAAAGTCACATTGACACAAGAGAGTACAGGTACATGGAGACACCTGGAGAAGGTTTCGGAGGATCAACTCCCCCGCGGCCCGATCTGTGGCCAGGTCTGTGGCCAAGTCTGTGGCAGGTGTGCCAGGACGGGTCATAACACGGGTCTTCTGCATGTTGTGACCCGGCAGTGGCTCCCGTAGGATAGGTTAGGACAGGTAAGATTCGTCAGGAAAGAGGATAATTGTTTGCTAACGCGGGTCTTAAGTGTCGGAGTTGGTACACGAGATGTATTGTTTACAGCCCTATTACAGGGGCAGCCCTATGACAGGGGCAGCCCAATGACAGGGGCAGCCCTATGACAGCGGCACGATGACTCTTCCTCATGTCAGTTGTAGTACTGTTTACAGCCCTGTGGAGGGGACAGCCCTATAACAAGGTCGTGAAGACTCGATTCCATTTGAGTCATTCCTGGCACTCCGCAGCCAGAGTGCCAGAAAGACTCAGGACATTCTCTGGACGTGTGTTGAACACCTAACCACTCCACAGGGGAGTGAGGGAGCCAGTGTATATAAGCGAGGAGGATAGGGACGGGATAAAGAGAGGAAGACAAAGAAGTGGAAATCGAAATACCAGCAGTAGAAACAGTGGTAGTAGAATGTAGGGAGAGTAGTAGCACAGGAGAGGAAAAGGGAGTGAAGATTGAAGGGAGACGATAGTAATAGTAGTAGCAACAGTAGTAGAAATGTAGTGGTAGACGTAGTGGTAGTAGTAGAAGATGGGGGGTTAGTACGAGGACAAGAAATATGAAGATTAATGCACATGTGCAACAGTTGGGTTCCTTTATTGATGCAATGTTTCGCCTACACAGTGGCTTTCTTCAGTCAAATATAGAGGCAGCAGGAGTAGTAATGAAATATAGATGATGTAATCAGTCCCTCAACCTTGGAGAAGAGATCAGCTCCGTGAGAGATAGGGAAGGTAGAAGACGTAGTGAAGGTAGGAGACGTAGTGAAGGTAGGAGACGTAGTGAAGGTAGGAGACGTAGTGAAGGTAGGAGACGTAGTGAAGGTAGGAGACGTAGTGAAGGTAGGAGACGTAGTGAAGGTAGGAGACGTAGTGAAGGTAGGAGACGTAGTGAAGGTAGAAGACGTAGTGAAGGTAGAAGACGTAGTGAAGGTAGAAGACGTAGTGAAGGTAGGAGACGTAGTGAAGGCAGGAGACGTAGTGAAGGTAGAAGACGTAGTGAAGGTAGAAGACGTAGTGAAGGTAGAAGACGTAGTGAAGGTAGAAGACGTAGTGAAGGCAGGAGACGTAGTGAAGGCAGGAGACGTAGTGAAGGTAGAAGACGTAGTGAAGGTAGAAGACGTAGTGAAGGTAGGAGACGTAGTGAAGGTAGAAGACGTAGTGAAGGTAGAAGACGTAGTGAAGGAGGTAACGTCAACATCTTGTCAAGTCACAGACTAGTGGTCGAGGCAGCCCAGTGGTCCACTATTTCAAGAGTAATAGTCAACTATTGGTAGTAAAATAATGAGATATAACTAGGTCAAACCTGTAAATACTATCATAGTCAGATAGTGATAGTAAAGGTGCGTAGATAATTTAAATCAGTGTTCTCATTAATATTAAGGATCATGCAAAACATCCAGAGGGGGGGGGGAGTTGAATGATAGCTCCAGGCCTTTCGTGTTGCAATCAACACATCAAGAGCTCGCAGTGTTGCAGAGAAGAGGAGAGCCTTTTGTGTAACATCGTTGTGATAAGAGGAAGTGCCTTTTCAAAGGCACTTTGATCATATCTGCTCAGACTTTCTGTTTCCTGCAACATTGCAAGTTGCTGATGTGTTGATTGCAACTCGAAAGGCCTAGAGCTACCATTCAACTCCCCCCCCCCTTCCCCGTGGTTGTATTGCATCTAGTATCAGTTGTTCGCGATATTTGCATAAAGTTATTAATCTCTTGTCAGTCTTAGGATTAAGTGGGTAACCAGGTGTGGGCTGTGTGTTGGGGCTGCGCACTCGCGTCGTCTCTGTTTATAACTCTCCTGCTTGTTACCAGAGTTTTCTGTACTTTATTGACGTGCTTGACAAGGTGTGGGTTCCAAACTGGTGCTGCATACTCCAATATGGGCCTGACGTACACGGTGTACAGTGTCTTGAACGATTACTTATTAAGATGTTGGAATGCTGTTCTGAGGTTTGCTAGGCGCCCATATGCTGCAGCAGTTATTTGGCTGATGTGCGCTTTAGGAGATGTGCTCGGTGTTATACTCACCCCAAGATCCTTTTCCTTGAGTGAGGTTTGTAGTCTTTGGCCCCCTAGACTGTACTCCGTCTGTGGTCTTCTTTGACCTTCCTCAGTCTTCACGACTTTGCACTTGGTGGGGTTGAACTCCAGGAGCCAGGTGCTGGACCAGGCTTGCAGTCTATCCAGGTCCGTGTGTGTGTGTGTGTGTGTGTATGTATGTGTGTGTGTGATGGTGTGTGTGTGTGTATGTGTGTGTTGGTGTGTGTGATGGTGTGTGTGTGATGGTGTGTGTGTGTGTGTGTGTTGGTGTGTGTGTGTGATGGTTGGTGTGTGTGTGTGTGTGTGTGTGTGTGTGTTTTCCTACTGTGTGTGTGTGTGTGTGTTTTCCTACTGTGTGTGTGTGTGTGTGTGTGTGTGTGTGTGTGTATTACAACCCAGGAGTCCAAATGGCCTGTTATCCTGGGTGTAAAGGGAGCAAAATAAACACAGCAGAAAACTTTTGACTTATATTATCCTTCACCAATTTAGAACAGAAGTATGTACACTATATACACTATGTACAGCAATAGGTATCAGTGCACTCCACGGTAAGCAAGGCAGAATAAAAGCCACTAGAGAGCAGACCGTGCTTCAACCAGCTCTAGAATGGGAATGACAAGGGCAGACAGGAGAGTGGTACCCACATAACATCTGCGATTGCCAAAATCATCTTCTCATTGGCTGGAACCTGGGTACTAGTTGAACGACGGGGCCCCATCGTCAACTCTCAGTCACCTGGTTCGCTGGTTGGGGGAGATAGCCTGTAAATGAGGGTGTGTACATGCGCCGAATAAAGGTTACGTACTCTTGGCATGCCACACCCACACCCCGAGAAGGCTCAGGATTAGGCTGCCACCTCCCAGTGGTAACTGTGCCGCCATGGCACAAAATAATGGGACCGCCTTTCCTCTCAACCATCCAACTCTTAGAGCTCAGCTTTTCTCGTGACAAAAAGCCAAACCCTAAACTCAGAGCGAGACATCAGTCGGGCTAGCTTAGGTCCAAGACACAAGTGGACGGTAGCCTGCATCCCCTCACTAAAAAAAAAAAAAACACACCAGGGGATTAAAAAAAAGAGCTTGGAAGGGGTTACCACAAGTAACCTAACACATCCTAATCTAATATATAATTATTATAAATAATATTGTTAAACTCTTGATAAAGAGTCTGCCAACATATTTTCTTTGCCGGCAATATGTACAATTTTCAAACAATATGGTTACAGTCTCAACGTCCACCTCATAAGCCTTGTGTTGTGGTTCTTCATGGCTTGGAGATATACTAGAGGATTGTGATCACTGTAGACAGTGACCACCTGCTAAGTCTGTCCCACGTAAACATCAAAGTGCTCCAAAGCCAGTACCAGCGCGAGGGCTTCTTTTTCAATGGTAGAGTAAGCCCTCTGATGCGGCTGAAATTGGCTGAAAGTAGGTACAGGTGGAAAAATCCTGTCCCCGTTTTGCAACTGCACTCCCCCAACCCAGACCACAAGATCAACCTGTAATGAAAAGTTTTGGAAAAAATCTGGGACAAAAGAAGGGGTGCAGTACACAATAATCTTTTTGTTTTATCAAAAGCACCTTGAGAAATGAAGTCCAAAAAAGGGAACTTTGTTGGAAAGGAGGTAAGAGGGGCCAATATCTGGAAATTCTTACAAACTTCGTAAAATCCTATCTGCTGGGAAAATTGAAGAGTTTTCCTTCATGTGGAATGGATAATTTAAATACAAAACTTTGCAATTTTTAGGGGGCAATTTGCCACTACCATTTCAGGGCCTAGAAAAGTGACAGGGCCGGGCCCAAAGGAAGACTTAGAAAAATTTAACGTTAAATGGAACTCTGAAAGGTCTCAAAAGAATCTTAAACCCTAAATAGATGTTACCCCAAGTATCAGACACCAAAACATATCATCCAGGTACGTCCCGGCCTTCAAGCCTTTAATAGCCTGATGGATAAGTTTCTGGAATGAAGGGGGGAGTTTTTTTTTTCGGGGGGGAAACGTATATTGATAAGACCGGAATTAGAAGCAGGATTTCCTTCCCCCTTATCCTAAAAGGTCCCGATGAAACCCTTTAAGGAGATCTAACTTGGACACAAAAGTAGCCTTACCACAAGGCGATTCGTCACCCAACGGGGAAAAGGGGGTAAGCATCTGAAATTTGGGGGCCTTATTCCCCTTTAAATAGCTGACACATATGAAACCCTCCATCAGTTTTTTCAAAAGGATGCACGGTAAAACCCCATGGACTAGACCCCTCCCCCAAAACCCATGCTCTAACAGAAATTCTATTTCCCTGCGAAGTACCCTGTTTTTTAGGATTAGCTCGTGGGGGGAGGTTTAATAGGTTTAGAGTTTCTTACGTCTCATCTGATAACCAAACGACATTTTTTGGGCACATCCGAAAAAATATCAGGGTAGATGAGAAGTGCGTTAAACTTGTTGCTTGAGTTTCAGATAACCCCCCCCTTTTAAAGGGGCTAGGGTTTTTGGGAGGACAATTTTTGGAAATTTTAACATTAATTCAGAAATAGAGTGCAAAGAGTCAGAGTCGTCCTCGGGGAAAGGGACAAGTCATTTTTGGGGACTTTATCTGGTGTATAAAGATTTTAATTGATTAATGTGGTAAGTTTTAGTTTTGGTCTTATCAAGGG